GTTCTCCATGTTTCTCCATCTCACACGGTTGAAACGTGACTTTTGTGGAACAGCGTTAGTCAGGGTAAAGGTAGAGCTTTTCTCAGTTGGATCAGAGCCATAAGAGCTTGGAAATAAATGTCCTCTGTCAAACCCTTGCTGGTTGTAGGGTTTGTAATCAGTGTTTACAGCCTGGTGTTTATAGATGATGTTGTTGTCAGCTTGTCTCATATTGTCATCATCAGCTGGTTTTTCAAGCTGTAAAAACAAAACAAAAAAAGAGTCCTTTAGTCAGCCATGCATGGCTGCTGAAAAATGGACTAAATAAACATTTAATAACTGGTTGTATAAAATTGTATAATCTAAACATAATATAGGTCAGCTTATGGTGTAAGCTGTACAAATTGTAATTGATTTTATGGTCCTATTTTCAAAGCAAACTTTAGTTGACAAGACTGCTGTTAAATAGGAAATATACTAAACAATGCTTAGTTACAGTGTAATGGGAAATTTATGTAGAGATCTAAATCATAAACAGGATCACTGAATAAGTGAAGGTTCAGCAGCTCCTGCTACAGTTATGGAGTTATGGAGCCAGTACACTGCTGTAGTTAGCACAGTGGAGCATCAGCTATGATTTAAGTGGTTAAATAAGATTCACAGTAACAAATATATTTTATCTCATGTAGCACTACAGTCTCAACATGTTTTATTTCGGCTTAAAAAGACGTATTAAAACTGATACCTGCGGTTCAATCATCCAATTGATCTTGGGCCTCTTGCCTCCAGGTCTCCCTCTGTACTTTGCAGCAGAAAAAACTGGAATCTTGTTCTTGGTGTCGTACAGCGTCACAAATGTTGTGGTGTTGCTAAAGGTCTGACAAATCACTTTGTATCTGTTTTGGTCCAGGATGTTCCCTCCCTCTAAAATTTGTGGGATGTTTGGTGGAGTTTTATCAAGAAAAAACGTATTACATTCCTTCACTGATGCCACCACTTCAGTTTCAGTGGGAATGATGGAAAGAAGGAGGAGAATAGCCAGTGGCAGGAGGTGATGCATCATCAGCGAGCCCTGTGAAGTCAGGTACCAGGAGAACAAATGTTACGACATTAGTCCTAAGTGCACTGACCACTGCACCACTAGACATAAATTACCCCTATCATTCTTGCTATTTCTGATGCTCCTTGGATTCATGCATGAACCTGTCTGTCTGTGCTTAAAATTGTCGGTGCTCAAATTGTCCTGTCATCATTCTCTGGCTGACTGTCTATGTCACTTGGTGCTGTGTATTTATATTGTTTATATAGGTGTTTTTTATAATTTGTTAAGTACATGTGCACCTTTATGGAGCTGTTTCAAATCTCATTATACTGTGTATAATGAAAATAAAGGCTTTCAATTTCAATTCAAGTATTACACATACTTCCTTCACTTCTTTTTTCATATATACAAAGTGTCTGATTATGAAGTCGGCAGCTATTCTAGACATGCAATAACATAAATAAGGTGAATTCTTTTGATTGTGTCGAGAGTCTGTTATGGTAATTATGATATGGTAGTTTAGAAAATATAGTTCTACTAAAGTTTTATTCTGCATTTCATGTTTGACATTT